GACAGGTAACGACAGAGGTATGAGAATTAAGCTCAGCTTTGTTTCTTCTCCCCTTGAGATCAACACAAGCCACTCTGATTTACTTCAAGTGTGCATTGCATCTACTCTATTTGGTGTTCTATCACCTAGTAAATCCCTAATTCTTCCTTTATAGTAACTGAAATGCCAACTTCTCTGCAATGTTGTAGGTGAAAACTTCTGTTCCGGCCTGAGCACTTTCCTTTCTCCATGCTGCCAAAATTCTAAATTCTTTGCTAGGCAGGCCTGAGAGACTCATCCCTCTCAAGGACTATGCAGATATGGCTAGAAGCAACCTGAGCAAGCCACTTTGTTCCTATCTGTGCCCCTGGCAACCAATGCCATGTCTGGTACCTAGAAGTGCCTTGTGGATATTGGTGAAATGTACAGCAGTAAATTAAATGGCATTTCCCCCAGATTAATGGTCACCAGAAGGAGAAAAAAAAAATTTAATTCTGCCAAGTTCAATCACTTAGCCTTGCAATAATGCAAGCAACATTCAGATCAAACCTTTTAGCTTTCATCATCATATAAGATGGTTAAAGAGCCATCTGTATCAGTGTCTCTATCTGTCCACTTAACAGAAGAACTCCCACAAGGTTTAAATACCTGCAAGAAATGAAACTCTATCTTGAAATGCAGTGGCATCTAATGCTATCTTAATCAATTTTCAGCTGGACTTAACATTTAACTGCAGGTATTTCAATACACAATACATATTCACAAAAAAAATTTAAGCAAGAAAACTGTTTCTTTTAATCATAATGTTCACTATAAATATTAGCTTTATTACACCAATAGATATGGATAGGTCACATTTATGCCTTTTATAATTAAAAGTCAACCTGTTGGTTTACCTTTAACATTCCTGATTAGTCGTAAACATTAGTTTGCTAACGTTTCAAATGCAATGAAGGATCGGAATGATGATTATAACCATAACTACAAGAGCGGTTAAGGTTAATTGGGCAGTTACTGTATACCAGGAACTATACAAAGTGTTTCCTATAAATTAATTTAATCCTCACAAAATAGTTAAATATTGAGTAAGTCTTATTAATTAATACCGATTTTACAAAGAGAAGCAATGAGGATTCAAGGTTATTTATACAAATTTACACAGTTAGTAGCTTGTAGAGCAAAGATTTGAATCTCGACAGCCTGAGCTTGTAAATGAAACTGAACACTTACTGGGCATGATGAAGTGTTTAACATAGGTTTCCCAGAGTCATTCTCACAAGAAACATGCAAGATAACATTACTAACTACACTAAAAACCACATAAAACTACACATAAAAACCAAGGTTATTTAACTGGCCCAAGGTCATGAAAATTGTCTCAAACACTATACTAGTCTGTCTCTAACAATTAAAAAAAAACCCAAAAAACAAAAAAACCCTACCTCCAAAGAAATTAAATGGATATGGTAGTATGTGAAATACAAAGAACTTCACAGTCACCGTCTTATGGTCAGAATCAGGGGTTAGCAAATGTTTACTGAAAAGGCCAGACAGTAAGTGTTTTCAGTTTTGCAGGCAACACAATCCCTTTTGCAACCCTCAACTCTATTTTCAAAGCATGAAAACATCTATAGACAATATGTAAACAAATGGGATTGGCTGTGTCCTAATACAACTTTTGTGTAGAAAACAGGTTGAAACAGGCCATTTTGGCCCCAATTTGCTGACCCTTGATCATTACTGTTACATGTGGACCCCTGATCACTTTGTTTTTCTCTTCTTCTTTTTTATTTTGAGACAGAATCTCGCTCTTGTCAACCAGGCTGGGGTGCAGTGGCGTGACCTTGGCTCACTGCAACCTCCATGTCCCAGGTCCAAGTGATTCTCCCGCCTTAACGTCCCAAGTAGCTGGGATTACAGGCACGCGTCACCACGTCTGGCTAATTCTTTTGTATATTTAGGGGAGACGGGGTTTCACCATGTTGGCCACACTGGTCTCAAACTCCTGACCTCAGGTGATCTCCAAGCCTGGCCTGATCACTTTCATTTAGTAAAACCTTTAAAAGTTGAGAAATGTACAGTGTAAAATAATAGATGACTATATGCCTATATCAAAAGAATATGCATTTACAAGGGAACATAAGTTAAAATGAATCTATGTGTATTTATAAAGAAAAGAAAAAGTGTAATGAGCGTAGCAGAAATATCCTGGCCTATCTAGGTCCAAATTCTGATTTTATCACCTAACCAGTTATGTCAACCAGGGCAATTAAAAAAATTTTTTTTTCTTGGCCTCATCTTGGCTTTAAACGGGGAAGTAAAATTTCCACCACACAGTTACAATGATTAAAGACAGAATCATTTCTTTAAAGCACAAGGGGCCTGTTGTCTTGGCTACTTGGGAGGCTGAGGCTTGAACCCAGGAGTTTGAATCCAGCCTATGCAACAAGACTCCATCTCAAAAAAAAAAAAAAAAAAAATCAAAAGGCAAAATGATTGGTGGCCCTGAAAATCTGTATCTGCCACAAAGGGTTCCAAAATCTGCCAGTCTCTTGGGAGGTAAAACATTGTCTGTTCTGCCCCCATGATGCCTTACAGAGTAACAAAGAGCCTAGCCATCAGCAAGGGTACAACAAACATTTGCTGAATAAATGAACATAAGGAAAAAAAGATCAGTTACCCTGAACAGATACAACTGACTAGATTAAATAAAATACTATGCCATTTATTATTACAATACCCATGTTCAATCCGAGTTTAGAATTTAGGCTCAATCAGAAACTATCCTGATATTTTAGGTTTCTGAAGTGCAATCCCTTCTCGAAGAACAGAAAATGAGGAGCAAGTGTCTAAATATTCCACTGTTTTACTCAAATTGGTAATGGCGTATTCCACCAGACCAATAACCAACAATATCCATTTTTTTAAACAACCAAAGACAATAATGAACCCCCAAAACCCAACAGATTTTGCAATCGTGTGCTCACTTTTATTTTAGTTTTATTTTTTTGAGACAGGGTCCCACTCTGTTGCCCAGGCTGGAGTGCAGTGGATGTGCTCACTTTTAAACAATACTTTTATTCTTCTGGAATCAGTAACAGAGAACAGACATCCTATCACTTGGGTATCATCGATTCTAACACAGTAGGGCAGAGAAGTCCATGACTATGTCAAAACTGTTTTATTTTTCTTCCCTCCATTTCTTTCAAATTTTAATGGGTTGTGAAAGTATTGAGTTTTTTATGAAGCACATTAAGAACTGATACCAGTAGCAATATGTTGGTAATGATGAAACAATTTTCTTAGAAAGGATGGTTGTAAATCACACTTTCTTCTGGGTGCTGAAACACTAACATTGAAAACGAAGACTGCAGTAGCCTCCCTGCAGTATCTCATCTTTGCAAGTCACTTTTACTTTTTATTTTGAACACAGAAGAAGCTACTTGTAGTTAGAGTTTTCCAAAATGAGCAATCGCCGATGGCGTTGCCACTGCTCTCAGGGAAGAACCACAAGTCGCCTTTTATAACAATGACGAGGAGGAAAGCAACTCTTTGCAGCTGCCTCTTTCAATGTTACCCTCTACAACACCTACTTCTTTATTGCAATTAGCTATGAATACAAAAAACTACCTCGCATGGGCACAACAGACCATAACATGTTTCTGTTAGGCCCCCTTTAGAAGACTTGCCTCAATTAGAGCTTTTGTTCAGGAGTTTGAGATGGAAATGGGTGGACCTGCACTAAAGATTCCTCTGTTTCTGGCATTAACAGTTGGTACCTCTAAATAAGCAGATATCTTGCTTTTAGAAGGTCGCTTTTATTGCTCTTCTTGCCAACAGCATTATTAACTATTTTTTAAGGTTCATTTCTTTCTTGCCTTTAGCTTGGAGTGCTTTGTTTATGAAATTCTTTTCACTGCTTTTGTCTTTCTACAGGAAATAATATAACATCTATGTCCCTCTATGTTCCGTCTTAGTATCAAATAATGCTACATGTAAGACTCAAGCAAAAAAGGAACCTGACTAATGCAGGTGATAATGAGATCACTTTATCTCAAGAGAATTGTCTTGTCTAGAATATGAGCCTAAGTTTATGTGGCATCTTCTCATTGTACTGCATGACTGATATCATTCCTCCTTCACCTGTTACCTCAACAGTAGTAACATCAAAACAAAATCTCTTTATCGTCTCCTGGAAAAACCTGCAGCACACAGTAGGGTCCTGAATTAATATTTTTTAGTTAATCACCTGCAGTTAATGGTCATCCTTGCCAGCCTGGCACTGAAGGTCTCTATATTTTGGTCCCAATCTAGAAGATACCTGCTCTAGCTTAAATTGGACCAATCCTGTCTCCCAAATATACCTTTCCATGGTGCCATATTTGTTTTGCTATTCCTAATAACTCCACAGCAAAATCCATCAGTAGACATACCACCTGCTCACACTTTCAGCTCTAGTTCAAATACCATGCCCTCCATGGAACCTTCTCTGATCAATCCAGAAGCTTCCTCTTACTCTTGGAAGTAGGTTCTGTGTTCATATTTCTTACAACACAGACGGCTTTGTATTTCTTTGGCTTCTATTTCCCATGAGATTTTTAACATCCACTAGGGTCATCTGGCTTGTGTGTGCTCATCATACATTCCGCACGGCCTAGCAAAATGTTTTGTGCCAAGCAGATGCTCAAAATCTAATGTTCAGTAAATGGACACTAACTGTTATATAAACAGCCAGCTTAATGGAGATCACAAGGAGTTCAGTCCCACTGCAGAACACTAGCTGCTGTAATTTGTATTCACACCCCATTTAGGTTTCAAGAAGAGAAGCCCTGAAAAGCTGTCCTTCCCTGCTAGAGGCATCAGGCTAACAAGTTCATCTGACCACATTTGCCACAGTTGGCCCTAACAGGTGTATGGAAAATACCCTGAGAAAAGATGTTTGCATATTTGAAAAATGGTGGTTCAAACGAAATGTCATTTACTAGCATGTTCACTTGTGTGCTAAAATGAGTAAGAAACTGTCTGTCATTCAGCAGGGAATGATACACACTCCGTCTTGCACTCTATGTTCTTTCTTTAAAACAACATGTAAAATTTTCGATAACTCTTGAGTGTTTAATTCAGAATAATCTGTTTCAAAAGCTACAAGTTAAAGAAATGCAGAACCTCAAAAATACGGTGTTAAGTGAAAGAAGTCAGACACAAAAGACCACATTGTGATCATGCTCACATTAAATGTCAAAAAAAGGGCAAATTTATAGAGATAGAAAGTAGATTGGTTGTTACTTGGGCTAGAAATGAGTACAGGGATTAACTGCGAGTGAGTATGAGGAATCTTACTGGAGTGATGAAAATGTTCAAAGATTAGATTATGGTGATAATTGCACAGCTTGGCAAATTTCTTAAAGGCACTGAATCATATACTTAAAAACAAATGAATCTTATATGTAAATCACACCTGAATAAGGTTGTAAAAAATGCAACAAAGGGAAGAAGATGCTACAGTGACAACTATGAATATAGTTGAGTCAGACAAAGTAGCCCCTGCTAAGCTCCAATAGAACAATAAACCTGAAGTCATTATACTTCAGTAAAAAGTGAGAGAAAGGCCGGGCGCGGTGGCTCACACCTATAATTCCAGCACTTCGGGAGGCTGTGGCGGGCAGATCACAAGGTCAAGAGATCAAGACCATCCTGGCCAACATAGTGAAACCCCATCTCTACTAAAAAATACAAAAATTAGCTGGGCATGGTGGTGTGCGCCTACAGTCCCAGCTACCCAGGAGGCTGAGGCAGGAGAATACCCGGGAGGGAGAGGTTGCAGGAAGCCGAAATTGCGCCACTGCATTCCAGCCTAGCAACAGTGAGACTCCGGCTCAAAAAAAAAAAAAAAAAAAGAAAAGTGAGAGAAAGCCACTTTTTGTAAATGCTGTAACATCTGTGGTTGACCTTTACAAGTATTTGCAGTACATTAAAATTCATTAACTACATATTCGTTCAATCTAGCTCTAGAAGCATCTTTTACTATCTGCAAAACAAATGGCAGATACAAAAGGCAGAACCCTTTTAAAGAACAAATGCATACTCTTTAAGGAACTCAATCCAACAATTTACTAGTTTCTGTAACATTTGGTCATTTACTATCAACTGAATGTTAGTTTTTATTTCATGGAGACAAAAACTATGACCTTTAGTTCACAATATTTGCAACACAAACATTAATTCAAGAGAAAGTCTAAGACATTAGCACTGTATTTACTTCTTGAAGAAGGCACTGTCATACTCCCCAATGAAACAATATAAAATGTAAATTCAACATAAATCACCTCAGTTAAATTTCATAGCATAAAATGTGATACTCGCTAAATCTCCTTCTTTTTTTATGAGATAGGAGTCTTGCTCTGTCACCCAGGCTGGAGTGCAGTGGCACAATCTCAGCTCACTGCAACCTCTACCTCCTGGGTCAAGCATTTCTCCTGTCTCAGCCTCCCGAGTAGCTAGGATTACAGGTGCTAGCCACCACACCCAGCTAATTTTTGTATTTTTGGTAGAGATGGGGTTTCACCATGTTGGCCAGGTTGGCCTCGAACTCGTGACCTCAGGAGATCTGCCTGCCTTGGCCTCCCAAAGTGCTGGGATTACAGGTGTCAGTCACTGTGCCCAGCCCAAATCTCCTTCTTTAATGAAGTCTAATCACAACTATGCACTCAACCAAGATTTATAAAACTTTCTACAAGCCAGGCACTCTGTGTGATACTGAGTAAAATTAACTCCTTACCCTCAAAAGGAGCTCACAGTCTAGGTAGTAACACACAATATTATGTAACAAATACTCACTGCCAAAGGAATACCAAGGAGTCACCTATCTCCATATTTGTCAAATTAGATGACTACCTGGTTAGGCAGGGTCTTCCAGAATAATTTGAGATTTGCCAAGTAGCACACACAAGGTACAAAACAGACTGTATAATTAAAGATTTCACATTATTTGAAATTGTTTGACTGCTTGTTAAACCAAAACAATTTCAACAAGCATAAGTTTTTAGATTAAAAAATAAAAAAAAAAAAAAAAAAAAAAAGGAGGTGTTTTCGTTTGGGGAAGGCAGGGGTGCTAGGGTGGATGTTTCAAACTCTGGTATTGTGCTTCCTTTTTTGTGGGGGTGGGGGGAATCCAAGCAAACAGTGGGTTACCTCGAACCACCTCTTCCACAGACTCAGTGGTGGTGGTGGTGGTGGTGGCGATGCTGGTGGTTCTCTCCGTGGCTTCTTCGTAGGGTTCCTCAGCCTCTTCCTCTACCTCATCACCATCCTCGTCGTCCTCATCATCATCGGCTTCTTCTTCTTCCACCTCAGCCACTTCTTCCTCCTCTGTCACTTCTACCACTTTGTCTTCACTGTAAGGGCAAACACAAACAACAGAAAAAGTCGATCAAACAACTTTCAAGAAAGGAAAAGAAGATTGTCAATAAGGAACTTTGGCAATTTGAGAAGAAACACACACAAAACTTAAAGCCAGCAGGTCTAAGTATAAATCCCAGCTCAGCGGGTCTGCAAAAATTTTTTTATCCTTGAGTACAGTTCTTAGTTTCTGCAGCTGTTAAAAGTGGATACCATGAGTCTAACCATAGGACATTCTGAAAAAGGCAAAATTACGGAGACAATAAAAAGATCAGTGGTTGCCAGGGGGGTGGGGGGAAAGGGATGAGTAGCTGGATTACAGAGGATTTTTAGGAACTACTCTACATGATACTGTCATAAGCAGTAATAGATACATGGCATTATGCATTTGTCAAAACCAACAGACTATACAACACAAAAAGCCACCTCTAATGATAACAGGAACACTGGTTAATAATAATGTATCAATATTGGTTCAAATGTACCATCCTAAGGCAAAATGTTAACTAAGGGAAATTCTGGGTGAGTGGGGAGGTGAGAGGTAGAGAGAACTCTTTGTACTTTCTGCTCAGTCTTTCTAAACCTAAAACTGTTCTGAAAAATGTAATCCATTATAAAAAAAGTGCGGGGGAGAGGGGAGATACCAAAACTGAGTTTGTTGTATGATGGGAATGACTTCTCATAGTGTGCACATAAGAACAGCAAAGCACTGCACGCTAGCAGATACTCAGTATGTGCCAGTGGAAACTGGTTTAAAAACTGCAATTCAGAGTTTAAACTGGACATGGAAGTAGAAGATGAAAATGGCTTAAGTGTAAATCTGTAATGTCCTGTAGTCAGGGATGCCTGCTGAAACTATTTAGTTGCGCACCCTACACTTGCTAATTGCTATGTTTTGTAAAATACCAAATATTTCAGTGGTTCTCAACTTTCAGTGAGCATCAGAATCACCTGCAAGGCTTTACTGAAACACAGGTCACCCGCTGAGAGTGGTGGCTCATGCATGTGATCCCAGCACTGTGGGAGGCTGAGGTGGGAAGACAGCTTGAGGCCAGGAGCTCGAGACCAGCCTGGGTCACACAGTGAGACCTTGTCTTTCCAAAAAATTAAAATTAAAAAAAAAAAAAAAAAAAGCCAGGCATGGTGGTGTGCACCTGTAGTCCCAGCTACTCAGAAGGCTGAGGTGGGGGGATTGCTTGAGCCCAGGAGTTTGAGGCTGCTGTGAGCTATGAATGCATCACTGCATTCCAGCCAGGGAGACAAAGACATAGTCCCTTTAAAAACAAACAAACAGATAAACAAAAACCAACACAGATCCAGGTACCAGGCAGTTTCTAACGCAGCTCCAGAGTTTCTGAATCATGGAGCCTTGGTGGGGCCTGAGAATTTGCATTTCAAATCTCCAGGTGACACTGATGCTGGTGGTCAGGGGACAATGTTCTGAGATCCACTGTAATATGCTGAGAATAACGGCAAGAGATAACAAGTAACTCACAGTGAACGTGGGAAGAAGATCAGAAGTAATATTTATGGTATTAAACAGCTACAGGCTGATGCATCGTGGTGTGTAAAAAAAATCAGCAAATTTGAATGGCAAAAGAAGGGCATGTCTCGAACAAAATTTAAAAGGCCTGTTAGGAAATCCTTGTGGAAATCATGTACCTGCCAAGGCAGGGATAGTTGAGAGCACTTGAAAGAAGATAAATGAAGATAAGAACAGGAAGTATCAAACAGTAAAAGCCACCTAGCCGAACTAGAGGAATGGATGTCCTTGATCAGATTACAAAACCAATATGGGACAAAAATCTAGATGTGGCAGGGGGTTTCGACCTTTCCAGGGCAGGGTGTCTATCTGTCAAAACCAACAGACTACATTCTGGTTGCCACAGGTCTATTTGAGAAGTACCATAGTAATAGAATTAAAGGCTGCCATGCCCACATTGAAATGTCCCCAGAAGAAAAAAAAAAAAAAGAGAGAGAGAGAGATACAAAGGAGAAGGAAATTCTACCACAGAGCTCATTCTGGCCTACAAGAAGCAGCTCATCATTGGGAAAAGCGATAGGAACCCCGGGCGTTTGTAAGCAGCCACGTGAAGCCTTGGACTGGTAGTGAGAGTACAGCATTAGGTAGGAAATCAGATTCCAAACATTTGAGACAAGCAACACTATGATTCCATGATCTATGAAAACAGAAAGGAAGACTCCTCCACAGCCCTGAAAGGCTTTCAAAGTCTGACAGGACCGTCACAAGTAGTTTTGCTGAGTGAAAGGGAAAGACACATAGAGATGAATCTGTCAATGGCAGGAATTCTCTGACTAACTCAACATTTAAAGCTTGTGTTACACAAGTTGTATAAAGATGTGTATGACCCCCATGGAACACCTGACTGTGATTACATAGGATGCAAGAATAGTGTAAAGGGCATTTATAAAGTCTCTAAAAAAAGGAAAAGGTGTATGATCCCCAAGTGGAATGCCTGTCTAACTCTGATTAAATATGATGCAAGGATATTAAGTAAAGACATCCAAAGAAGTTGAAAGCATGTGGCTAAAGAATAAAAAGAAACTGAGTAGAATAATTTATTAATAGCAACTTATTCCTATGTTAATAAATGAAGTATCAATGCAGAGAAAACCCTAATCAGTTACTGTAACATTTTCACAATACCAGGAAGAAACAGGTGAAAGAT